ATAAAGAAACTAGGATTTAGATTTAAAATAATAAACAAACGTCAATCAGTTATGAAAAGCAGAAGAATAATGGAATTGTGTAACAAATACTTAGAACAAATAACTAAATATAGACAAGAACACGAAAAACCTACTTTTCGAGTCCTGAAGAAGAATATAATTAAATTCGAAACGTTGACAACAAAACAATTATTTTTTTTAACAAAATTGATCCTGTTACCCAACCAACCTTTTTTCAGAAAAATTATTGGATCACTAAACTAGTTAACTGAATAGACAAGAACAACGGCAAATTTTCCATTTGGACGAGTCTTGGTATGACACTCACGATACAGTTTCGGAAGGGTGGACTGATGGTTCGAGAATGTGTTCGCTTAACATGCCTGCAAACAGAGGATCGCGACTAATCATTGTGCATTTCACAGGAAGTAAAGGATGGGTTTCGAATTCTTTGAAATTATGAGGAAAAAAACTTGAGGCCTGCAATGTTGACTATCATAAGAACATGGAAGCTAATATTTTCAAGGAATGGTTTGAAAACACATTGATCCCAAATTTGGATGCGATAAGTGTATCAGTTCTTGACAACGCTTCCTGTCACAGACAAAAACATTTGCCTTTGAGAGTATTACTGAAAAGAATGGACACACCATACTGACTTTTCACCTATTTTTGTGTTTTCAATGCCATCGAGTTGATTTGGGGAAAATTGAAGCAAAGCATCAGGCGTAAAAATAATTTTCCAAAATTGAATTTTTTTAAATATTTTTTTTATTTTAATTTTCGTGAGAATTTACTGAGATCGTGACAAACTCATCCTATATATTGCTGTTGTTACCACTACTCTTCGTCAATTCAAATGTTTTTGGTTCAAGGAATAATATAATTACATATATTCAGTTTTGTGTAATGACTGTTTCTTACGATTACTGTTGATAGTTTGTTAATAGTAGAATAGTAATAGATTTTTACGGTTGTATAGAAAACGAATCTCTGCCGTGATTTATCATTGCAGAGATTGAATCCTGCCTTTTATCAGGTTGTATTTTTTTGAGTACCAACAATGAAAGCCTAATCATTATTATCTATTATGATCATTATTGAAAGTTGTGAAAAATATTTCATTTGATATAATATACAGCACATACAGGGCGTACCAACGAAAACATGACCTCCCCTGTAAGTCAAAAACGGACATGTTATCGAAAATTTCAAAGAACCCGTCAATTTTTATTTCTAAGGGGACTGATTATGGTATGAAAATCATACCCGAAAGTTCACCCTCTTACGGTCAGCAACCACCCCCCCCATTTTTTTCAATAGAAGGCAAGAATAGAAGGGTCAAGTAGTGATACATCATTCGAAAGTTATTTTGTTCTTTTACTTCCTCTGTAATTTTTTCGATATTGGTTCATTCGTTATTGAGAAATTAAATTTTGAACGTTTTATTTGAAAAAACCAGAAAATTATCTGAAAATGTTGAGAAAAATTGTTAAATGAATTATTTCATGAACATTGAGCAGGACATGTTAAAAAATCCCTACAGTAGATTTGCTAAACGGTTTTCTAAAAAATACATCTATAAATTCTACTATGTACTTGGAACCTACGAATGAAAATGAAGTAATTATCTTGATTGCAAATCTCAAAAATAACTGTTCTCCAGAACCTGATGGAATAACTACTAAAATGATAAAACATACTCACACACAGATCATTAGGACCTTTGGTACATATTATAAATTCATCGTTTCAAACAGAAGCCGTGTCTCGACAATGGAAAGAATCAGTCGTAACACCAGTCTATAAAACGGGTAAAAAAATCAATTAAACAACTACAGGCCGATCTCTGTCATTAACAATTTTGCAAAGATTTTCGAACACTGCATTAAAAATAGATTATTATCATTATTTGATAAACATTCCGTCATAACTAAACATCAGTACGTCTTTCTGAATGAAATATGCACTGAAAATGCTATTATAGACCTTGTTGAGAAGCATTTGACACCGTATCCCATAGTCTACAATTAGAATGGAGTGCGAGATAAGACACTAGATGTCTTGCAGAATTATTTTGCAAATAGATTACAAAAAGTTAAAATTGATGAACAGTTAAGTACCCCACAAGAAGTCACTATTGGCGTTCCTCAGGGAACTGTTCTTGAACCAGTTCTGTTTCTTACTTACATAAACAGTATCACAGAAATTACCGACTTCTGTGGTAACTTCATTTGCTATGCTGATGACACAGCTATTGTATACACAGGAGAATCATGGGAAGATGTCTATAAACTTGCTCAAGACGGGCTTCACAATATTAAGAAATGGTTTGATTATAATCTACTGACTTTGAATGTTAATAAAACAAAATTTATTAAATTTTCTCTGCAAAACACTGATCAGCCAGAACAAAACTGATGAAAAGTTTGAGATGCGACTCACATCAACTATGTACATGTGATATAATAGAAAAAACTTCAACTATCAAATACTTGGGTGTTATGCTGGACCAGCATTTCAGGTGGGATGAACACGTAAGTCAAGTCACAAAAAAAATGAGAATGCTTATTTACACCTTCTATAACCTACGAGATATTCTAGATAGGAAGAATTTGAGAATGTGTTATACATCTTTAGCTGAGTCGGTAATACGGTATTGTATAATAGCTTGGGGTAGAACATTTAATAGTACAATGACTTTTATGAAAACAGTGCAAAACACTTTAATAAAAATAATATTCAAGAAATACAGATTCCATGCAAGTGAGTCTCTATATACTGATACCAAATTACTAAACATCAGATCCTTATATACTTTCCAAGTCTGATATGGATTTATTCAAATAATGAAAAATATGATAAACGTAAATCCAAAGTAAGTAGATAAACTGATAAAATGCAACTACCATTGTTTCCCAAGACTCACCACTCAGAGATTTGCTTTCTGTTTTGGTCCAAAACTCTACAATATGCTCCCAGCACCTCTGATAAATATCAATACTCTTTCCAAATTCAAAAAAAAATTAAAATTATACCTTGCTGAAAATGCAACAATATTTAACAATATTTGATTTTTTTGATATTTTAGGAGTGATTAATTTTTTGGGAAAGAAAGTTTTTGGCTTTCTACTACTCCATCTGATACAAAAAAATGGATGAGAGAATCTTCCAAAGAAATTTCTTTGCATGATCTACACATCCATGTATAGAGTTACTTATTTTCAAATTGATTAATCCTTCCTTTCTTTGGAAGATTCTCTCATCCATTTTTTTGTATCAGATGGTGTAGTAGAAAGCCAAAAACTTTCTTTCCCAAAAAATTTAACAATATCTTTTGAATCCCCTAGTACAAATCTGACACAAATTTATATCATACGAAAATCATACGAGTATTCATTCATGAAATACCCGCTCTCACTCCTTTCTTTGGTCCATTGCATTTACCTTCTCTCTCCAATATATTATATAACCTATAATATGAAAACTTTTTGTTTTGTTTTCTAAAGTCATCGGGATTCATTTAAATTGGGAGAATAGGCACAATACAAGCATATTCTATGCTTAGGTGTAATTCTCGACATTTTAATGAATTCAAAATAGTGTATGGTAAAAAGTTGACTTTTATCAACAATCCAAAGCACTTGTTACGAAATGTATCATTTAATTGTGGAAATCATAAAATACATGTATACAATTTCAGAGTTCCAATCTAGTAAACATCAGCTATTTTATTTTCTTGATAACTCTGTATTTCATTGCATAGTTGATGTAGTCTAGGGAAGAGAAAAAGAAACGAATTATTATTAATGAAATAAAATTCTCAAAAAGAATGAATGCTCAATGAATACTTCATTCAAAGGAGAAGTATTGCCATTGGAGTACACCAAATTTCGTCAACGTGTACGTCACGGCGCAAAGGACGAGTTTGTGTTAATACTTCTGGTCGGAGGTCAACCTGAAAGGATTTTGGGTGACGGTTGAGAAACGAAAGTAGAGTGTGTCACGTGAGTTACCATTTTTGTGTTGGGCATTATTTTAGTGGAAGCCTTTCCCTTAGAGGAGGTGAGTTTTTTAACCATTTGATTTCTGGAACCAATATCACAACCGGGATCACTTTCTGTAGATCTGCCGGTTTCCATTAAGCTACGGACACGTACAGCCTTTGGTATTTTTCAAGAAGCGTGGGTCGTCCAACCATCTCGAACGTTTTTGTTCTGGTTTGGAACCTTTTGGATCCCCAAATACCGTCTTTTGCTGTCGACCAGTTTTAAAAAAAGAAAAGTCGAATTGCTCCAGTTCGACATATATCTTTCGAATCCAGGATATTTATAGTATCGCCTGACAACTGAACTGTTTCGTTTTCTAACCCTCCAGACTCCCTCCAGACTACATCTAGAATCTACTCGACCTCTCAGACAGCCTGTTGCTGATAACATCCAGAAAAGAAGGGACTCATTTGGTGAGGAATTTCCAATTTTTATATCGGAGTTGATTTCCACTACACAGACAACCTATTTTTGGAAACCAACTATATACCTGGTGTTTCCTTTTTGAATTATATGTGCCTACATGCATGTAACGTTTCAAAAATTATTTCCAACGTTTCAATAATTATTTTGTGTAGACGTAATGAAAGTCATATGAATTTACTTTATAACGTTGTTTTGTAAGATCCTACTGCAGCTGCAGCGGCGTCGTATTATTTCAGTTGTTGTGTTACTGGATCACATCCTTTTTGTAATGAAAACAATAACCGCTTTTTGTCTACCATATTTTGGTTTAGTCTGCAGCAACTATTAAATAATTTTCTGACTATGCATATTTTTATTTCTTGATTTTAGCAAAATCAAATCAAGTGGCGCCCCATCCAAAAAAAGGTTGTTCCACAAAATAAAAAACCCACGACCACTACTCTCCCAATATATTGATTGCCGTTAGCAACTTGTTACCTTTTTTTGAAATTCTCTATTAGCCGTGGACTTTCCTTCGATCATCATAAAAAAATATCAGAAAGAGGTAATAATAGCACATAACATAGTTATTCATGTAATCTAATTATTTAACTGAATTTAACTGGATATTTAATTGAATGTTAACTGCATGAATAAATTGGAATAAATTGGAAATTGGTTTATTTTAATGAGGAAGTCAACAACAAATAATATCAGTAGGAACAAATTGTTGAAACTGATCTCCACCTAGTTCCATACAATAATACAGTCCACTCTTGAAAGCGTTCCGTACATTATTCAAGATGTCCGGAGTCAGCAATTGGCATTCCCGAACAATTCTCTTTCGCAGGTCTTCTAGATTTATAGGCTTAGTAGAGTACACTTGCGACTTCAGGTGTGCCCACAGAAAGAAATCCATCGGTGTGAGATCAGCTGGCCACTCCATTGGACCCCTTCTGCCGATCCTATGCATTGTAAAACGTTCGTCCAAAAACTGTCTCAACAGAACATCAAAATGTGGAGGTGTACCATCCTATTGGAATGTTATTTTATTTTTTACTAAATTGTAATCATTTTATAAAATTAGTGTAATCATAGGATTTACACAGTCTCGTAATAGATTTAGTTTGTGTCTTCATTGAGATTACCTTCAAGGAAGAATGGTTCAACAATATGATTACCGATAATGGCAGCCCAGACATTCAATTTTTGTGGAGTTTGTGAATGTGTTTTCATCACCAAATGGGGATTCACATCGCTCCAGTAACGACAGTTATGTCTATTCACTTCATCATTCGACATGAAGGAACTTTCGTCTGAAAAACATTCATTCTATAATAAGTTTGGGTTATTGGTCAATTACTCGCTGAACACCTCACAAAACTGAAGTCGACGATCAGGATAATCTTTGTTTAATTCCTGAACTAGACTTATTTTGAAAGGATGGAATTTATAGACTTTCAAAATCCGAAAAACACTAGTAGATAATACACCAGACGCTCTAGTTACTTGTCTGATAGATTGTCGATTATCCATATGTACATGTCCTAAAACTGCAACTTCAACTCCGTCGTTTCTGAGAGGTCGGGATACTTCAAGTTTTCTGTTGTGAACTGAACCTGAAGTTCGAAACTTATCCATTAACTGTTTAACGTATTGATGGTTCACGTTGTGGTCTGGATAATTCGTATTATAAATTCCTTCAGCGGATTTTGCACATTCATTATTTCGATAATAGGTTGCAACAATTTCTATTCTTTCTTCAGTAGACTAAACCATGTTGAAAAAGAGGGAACAAGGATGACCGAATAATAATTCTTGAAGAACTGGCAGTGGCCAACTATCTACTTTTTGTTCTGCGACAACTAAACAAAAAACCATTCAAATGATGTATCACTGATTTCCATATCAGAATCAGTCCCCCTAGAAATAAAAATTGACGTGTCCGTTTCTGACTTACAAGGGGAGGCCAAGTTTTCGTTGGAACACCCTGTATATCTATCATTGACGATATTGAAATATAAAATATTGCCGATTGAATATAATATGTATTTGGATTTTTCATTCTGATAATGAAGTTCTGGGTAGATTCAATAAGACCCTTCCTTGTATTATGAAAATATGAATTCGCAGCAATTAAATCCTTTGAACAAAGAAAAAGACTGTGCAAATACAAATGAAATGATCATTATTGAGTAACGCAATTTAAATTAACAGCCCAGATTTTGTTTAATCATAATTGAAATTCTACACATTTAATCTCTGGAATGGCGCTCAATTTGAATAATAAAATCAATATGTTGCCGCCAGGCAACCAAACAACACTCCACTCGTAATAAAGTTCACCTCTGGTTTTATTTTTTACAAAATTTGATTGAGATATTCCGGCGCTCTAGATCCTCTTAAATTAAAGCACCATACGTAGATGTCATTAACTGTCCAAATTCACGAAATAGAGTTTATAATCAGGTTCATAAATATAATTTATTGGGTTGACGATTTTATAATCTTATCATCAGTCGAACATATAGGTATATTTGTGGAAATTTTCATAGTACCGTTGCAAACTTGTATTTTCCCGTTACTTCAAATGATTAAATTTTTTTCCATGGATTTACATTGAACGTAGGGTTTGACAAAAATATTTTCAGTAAAACTAAGATACGATGGGAAAGAAAGATTGCATGTACTAGACGATTATGTCTGTGGGAAAGGTGAAGATATATCTCCTTACAAAGACGCCATATATGGAGTCAACAGAGAAGTCAAATTACTTATCATGACTGCCATTGTATATATCTTTCTAAGAGAAGATGTTGACTCTTCTAATGGCGGTCGAAGACAAAGCATGGCTTTGTAACACCTCATCTTTGTGAACCTCGTTTATCGTCGATATTCTTTGAAGTGGTGGGGTCTACAACACTACAAGTGGAACACATCGGGTGGAAAAGTTACACAAATAGATTTTACAAATTTTCAATTCCATCAAATTTTTCAAAAGTATATGCAAGAAATTTCTAACAGCATAGACTGCACAAAATTGCAGAAATAATTGTCAATGATGGGAGCGTGGCGCATATATAAACACATGGAAATAATCTAGGAATATTGACTAGTTTTCGTTGGAATTTGAAATTTTTGTTTTTTTTTGTTGTGAAAAAAATTCGGATATTTCTACACATTAATGAATCCATTGTCCCAGTTTGGTACAAATAATCAAAAAAATATAATAATTGTCACTCAAGTATTTCTAATGAAACTTGAAGGTATTCAAAACGGCTCGACATCTTCTGGACCTACTTGAAATTGAATTATCTAAATTATCTGCCAGGCGGCTTGAAATGTCTCAAACAGCTCTAGGCGAATCTGAAAGTTGCCACGGCCTCTCTTTACTCTTCTCTGGAGCATATCACATGCATGATCTACTTGGTTAGGATCTGGTGATTGTACATGCCATGGTAATACGACAATTTCATTACCTTGCAGAAATTGATTTGTCGACCTACCCACTTGTGGTTTTGCTTCAGAATAAAATTGCCAACAACTGCTCCGGTGTATGGTACGACAATAGATTGGAGTATTTGACGAACATAACTTTGGGCGTTTGAAAATCTTTCTCATAAAACGAGGCCGTTCTTCCTCCATAACTTATCCTGCCCTATACCAGAATAGTTCTTCCCCCGTAAGAATGCACTTCCTGAACATTTGCCATTCTTGCTTCATTGCCTGGTCTTCTTCAGACCCTAACCCATCTTGAATTCAGATAGAGCTCAAATCGAGATTCATCTTAGAATGAATAACGCATAACCCTATGCCCTATCATTTCACACGATATGCTCCTCAACCCACAGTATACGATTGACTCGATTGCCTCTGTTAGTAGGTTGCCGGACTTCAATCCGTCCTCACGCAATCGATTCATCACCGATCGAGAAGAAACATTCACGTTGTGGACCTGTTGGATTTGCATTTGGTGATCTTTTGCCATTGTGGGAGAATTTTTTCTCGCAGATAGTTCTAAAAATGATTTTGCGCTGAGTTATTTTTGCGATGCCTGCCATTATGCCTTTCGATACGTTTCATGTTTAATGATACCGTGAGTTTGATAGGGATATCACCTAACTCTTTCGCATTTCTACGTGTAGCATGCCTACATTTCATCACGCGATTAATGGATGATGCCGTTCTGGCATTATTCAAACACTATTAAATTGCATGCGAATAATTTCAATCGAAAGTTGAAACTGAATTGAACATTGTCACCCGTGTTTAAAACTTAGCATCATTATTATTCTTCGCCAATTAATACACAAACCAAAAGATCATATTTGAAAACAATTCTACTGAAATCTAGGTATATGTTTTTATTGAAATGTAGTTCATATTTGATGTGTACGTTGGTAAATATTCAAGTTTTGATAACATGCCCTATTCACTTAATGTAAAAAAATATTCCCTACGTGCAGTACTTTTTGTTGGATTGTAGTGTTTCATTCCCAAATTGATTCATATGGTTGTCAAGGTATTTGCAAATACAAAATACAAGGACAAAATACAAACACTGCAGGAAAATCCTTAAGGCGCTCTAAGAGCGGTGCCTGTGCGAAAGTAGCGATTTACGTTAAATTTGAATCGCTGTACATTAAATTCATTTGGAAAAACGTTTTCAGGAAGTTTATTCCACATAATAATAGGGAAGCCCAAGCGGGGATTTCGGGATTCACTGAAGCGCGGCAGATGAATATATAGGGGGATACCTTGTACCCGGTTAGGTACCTCCACCAAATATGAGCCCCATATATGAGGTCGCCTGTGAGGAATAAACGATCAGATTAGTAAAAAAAATAGATCATCAGAAATTCTCGAGCGCGTCAGATTGAAGAAGGGTGAGTTAATTACGTGCTAAAAAGTGTATATCCCAGTAATATGACAATTTGAGAGTGACGTAAAGAAAGGGGAGGGCAGCAAAGTTGTAAAAAAATAACGTCATTTCGACATTCTGGAGCGTAGCTAATTTTTTTTATTTTGAAGGAAATAATTCAAGGATAACGAAAAATATATAATCTGACGATTTTCGCAAGCCGAAATAAAATTCGTCGATAAAGTTTAATGCGTGCAGCTGTGTGATACCTATATTTCCCTCTCCGAGTTTCTATTCTCTATTCACTTTTTCTCTATCTATTACTCTCACACTCCGTCCCCACTCTGAATTCCGTTGCCATGACGCCATCACAGCTGATCACAGAGACTCGTTTGTGATGAAGATGATGATTAATTAATCAATTATTTGATGGATGTAGCCGTTACTACGTGGTAGGAAATCATAATGAGGAAAAGAGAAATTGAACTTTCTATGTTATTTACCACTTTTATTTGTAACTAACGTTTCTGCAGTTTCGTCCTATACGGACATTTTCAAACGTATACAATATATAAGGACATTTTCAACAATATATAAGTTTGAAAATGTCCTTATAGGACGAAACTGTAGTAACGTTAGTAACAAACAAAAGTGGTAGAAAACACAGAAAGTTTCATTTCTCTTTTCTTCATCAATTAATCAATTGATTATAAAAAATTAAATTTTTTTGAGCATTTTAAAAAAATTATTTTCTTATAAATACAAGTATTCTACTTAAAAAACATACACTTATTCATTTGCATGCTATTTCCTGAGCTTTCCAATTGATTAAGTTCAATGAATTGGAAATAATAAAAAGCGAATCCCTCTAGGTAATCGTCAGATTATGAGACAGCACGTCTAAAACATAAAGATGAACCATATATATCTTAATCTGACGCGCTTGAGTATTTCAAAATGGCGATTTTTTTTTGCACATTATAAAAATAATAATAATCGTCAGATTATTGAAAGAGAGCTTTTTTGTTGTACTTAATTAACACCTCCTTAGAAAATCTGACGCACTCGATTAAATTTTTTTGCAAACGATCGGATCAACATACCAACATCATTAAAAATACGTAGGACATTGATGCTATCAATATCTGACGCGCTCGAGTATGTCCATGCAACAGTAATTTTTTACACAAATTAAAAAATTTTACACATTAAAAAATCAATAGCCGCTTCCCCCACCGATGAAAAAGTATATATTATATAAGATTTTTTTCTTCTTATCATCTAAGCTTTGCAAACTGATATATCTCAATGATGCTCGAGTAAATCCCCATTTTGAATCGTGGGCTCCCCTGCTATAAACGCAGTTCTCCAAATTAAACAGTTCTCAAACAGTGAAGTTCGAGGTATACTGAGTTGAACCTCAAAAAAGATTAGCAGCCACAGTCAGTTGCGTATTCCTGAAAAATACCGATTTTGGTGGAATCAAATGTGCTGAGTCACTTGAACACCTCCGGTGAAATAATCTGTGAAAGAGTAACAATTCTCCAACCTTTCACCGAAGTTCGAGACTATCAAGTTTGCAAGTGATGCTGGATGGAATTCAGCAGCTGCAGGGTATGCTTTGGGGCGGAGCTTCTTACATTACAAAAATGCTTCAAAGAAGGTCTGATCTGAGCATTATAAAGCATCAAAAGTTGCTGAGGTGTGTACAGTTTTCTGGTTAGGAACAATGTTATGTTCTGTAATGAATATTATGAACTCAAAACACAGAATACAGTAAATAATAACTCAGTGATGGTTAAATACACCCAGGATTGAGACTTGCCCCTTTCTCGTTTTTGCTGTTGGATCCAAACTGCTTCAGGGAAACTATTATGGCAAAGTAGGGAGGGATCAAGGAGTTTTAGGAGAAGCAGTGTTGAAGAAAACTTATTTGAACAAAAAGAGCAATTCACACATTAGTCTATGCAATAAAATCACCAGCGCGTATCTTATTTCTTTTCCGATCCAGCCGTTCCGAATATTTCTAATTTCAAAACTAACTACTCAAATAAGTAAATTTATTCTATCAAACCGAGAGCGGTGTTGCCAAAACTTAAAAATTAATTTTCCTCGAATATATACATGCCTAAAAAACAGTGTTCCAAGCTTTTGAGAAGCTTCCTTTGCAATTTCAGCGACATCATTTTGCCAAGACATTGATATCCATTTTAACCCCCAACAAACTTATCGAACCAGAAAACGGAATTGTCTGTACTGATATTATTAAATCCGGTTCGGAGACATTGATCTTTTTGGATTTGAACCTGTTTACTTTCACCCCAATTCGAAATCACCTATAGATTCTCATTGAGATATGCAACCTCCTGCTGCCGGTGAAGATATGCAGCCGATGTCTGGAATCCAAATAGAATGACGAGACAAGTGTGCTGTAGTCAGCAAATCAATATATTGGATTCTTCGTTATTTTTCAATAAGTCGTTGATGTACAATGAAAAGGGGGTTAGAGACAATATAGATCCCTGGGGAACACTCTTGTTGATGGTTAAAGTATTTGAGAGATATCCATTGAAGGCCACTTGCAAGAAACGTTTTTTCAGAAAATAAACATTATTATTGTATTTTGGTTGAAAATTCATTTAAAAAAATTGTTGAATGAAATAAGATTTTTTGTAGTTCTATCACTATAAAAAACATTTTTTCAATCGATGGATATTATATTTGAATATAATTATTGTTACAGGAAATCCTCGGAATAAATGTGCCCTCCAACCAGGACATTCCCTTATGGATTGGATCCGTCTTGGAGCCTCCGGGAAAGATCTTACAGGTGTCGGTTCTCAAGCAGGACGTCTTTCGGTGAGTAATATAGAATATTAAACTTTCAGTATGAACACGTGTTTGTGACCTAAAGTCTTCGAGAATTTGAAAATACTATTTTCTGATGATCAATATAAGAAATGCAGAAAAGTTAGTTGAAACTTTCTATATTTTTTACCACTTTCATTTGTAACTCACATTACTGTAGTTCCATCCTATACTATACATTCTCAAACTTTCACATCAATGTTTGAAAACGTCCTTACAGGACAAAATTGCAGTAACTTTAGTTACAAATAAAAGTGTTGAAAAACCATAGAAAATTTCAATTATCTTTTCTTTATTATGATTTCTCACCACGTAGTAACGGCTACATCCATCAATTTTAATATAAGAAATGTTATTTGATGTTACTGCAGTTCTGAAACTTGATTTCGACTGATTGTGTTTTCTAGAAAAATTTCACTGATTCATCAAAGCAAATTATTTTTCAGGTGACAAAAAGCGAATTAGCAAAGCATAATAAGATAAACGATATCTGGTTGGCTATACGGGGGAGAGTATACAACGTCACTGCATACATACCATTCCATCCAGGAGGTCCTGACGAACTCATGAAAGCAGCAGGAGTTGATGCCACAAAGCTATTCGACCAGGTGAATCTAGTGTTCAATTCGCAACTTGATATTAATAATGATAATAATAATGATACCTCAGTGGCGTGATGTGTGTAGAGGTTCCACACAAGGTGCAGGGCCTTCCACGAGACATCTGATACCCTAAGGTCTCTTTGACAACAAGGGCTTCACGTCTCTTGCTCCTATACGAAAACGTTCATCACTCCTACCTACCGCTTATTCACACCAGAAGCCTTTTTAGTTCCTGGCTTCTTGAGCTCAGTCGTGGAATGGATCGCACGGGAGCTGTCACCACATACCTTCCCTACCTTCGACACAAACCTCAACGACAGAAACGTCAACGATCATGAATGGTTGCGAAATCTACGTTGAGCAACTTGCAGACTTCCACCCAACTTTTTAGGTCTTTATTTCGGTTCTTATAAATGTCGAGACTTTCATTCAAAAGAGCGGATCGGTTGCAGACATCACTAATCATCATATCCACATCGTAATCTGCTATGATAAAAAGTGTGAAGCGTCAACAAGGGGGAGCCATTCTCACTTTTCGTGTGGAAGCTCCCACTCATCCCGAGCTCATGGCGGCTCCTGCTTTTCGTCTGAAAGCTCCATTGGACTTGGTATTAGCATGTTCAATATATACTGCCTCAGCCTGTACTGATGGACCATCAAGGGTAATTTTACGGTATTGACGAGACTTCTGTCCTACGCTTTGGGAATATTGAATCCGTTGTAGGAAATGAGAAGTGCCGAATTCATTAGAACTATTCATTAACACCCCTGATCCTCATACAAGCTGAAACGTCTGATGTAGTTTTTCTCGACCATCACAGCAAGACGGTATTTGGTGCGGAGTTTTCAGTGTCCGTGATTTTCGCTTTGAACTTCACAAACTTTATCCAGATTTGTTGAGATGGTTTTTCTGATTTTTTAGTTATTGGTGGTAAGATGCTCTCTCCATTCTCGAATTTCAAAATCATGTAGGCTTGCCACATGAAGGCAGATATCTAGGATTTACAAATGCAGAAGGCTGATATTCTTGGTTCATTGCGCCTGCTTATCGTGTTGGCGTCTTCAAAAGATAAAGATAGCCCAATCACTTGACGTGGGCATGTCTCGCCTATGTAGTCTCAGTCCATATCCATCGACATAACGCGGCCCTAAGAGTGGTTATTCACTACCTACGATACTTTTACGGGGATTTTAGATCCATTGTAGCGGATGATAATACCAAGTTCATTGGAACTGATTATTTTCACTCTTAGTCTAGTAGAAGCTTATAAGCCAAGTGTGCAAAACAATATTTTTCTTGGAGTTTTCAGTTTCGGGTCAGACGAATATCATTGAAAAAAAAACAAAAGAAATTCGAGATTTTCTTTTCAAACTCCGCAGACTCTATCCAGACCACTCTGGTAATATGGTTGTATCTCGGTGGAATATGCTCTCCCTATTAAGGCAGACAAACGTATTTATACTTACGTATTTTGAAGGTTTATCATTGGTTTAACTACGAGCAAATTCTGCAGAAATGCTTTATCGAAAAGTTGGTTTCAGTTGATCTTGGAGTCAACTCGCAAGATCTTTTCTTCGAAAAACAAGCAACTAGAAAATTATTCCCAAACAACTTCGGAGAATCCAAAACTCCGACAGTTGAAGCAGTTGCGAAGAAAACCGGAGCTGAGACTCCAAAAAAGCAGCAATCAGTGGCGAAAGTGGATTTGTCAAATGAGGCGGATGAGCTGGAGAAACAAACAGATGTTATTAGTTTACCAAAGTTTGATTGGATCCAACAACTGATCTACATAACAGTTATTTTCTACACTCCGGCCATGTCGAACCCAATGGTGGAGGTGATTCCTCCAGATGCAAATACATCAATAATGATAGGAATTTCCAATGTCGAGACTATTTTACGAAAATGTGGGCATGTCTCACCTATGCGGTCTGTCTATATCCATCGATATAATGCGACCCTAAGAGTGTCCAATTTCTTCCTACGGTACTTTTACGGGGATTTTAGATCCGTTGTCGCGAATGAAAAATACCAAATTCATTGGAACTTGCATCATTTTCCATTGTCTAATATAATATAAATTGATTTGAAAACCCTGAAAAAACAATTGAAAAATTCATAAGATTACCCGAAAATAACAATTTTATTAAACAAAAAACTGAAATTCGAAATAATAAAATAAAAATCGAAATATTAATAAAAGCTGAAAAATAAAAATTAAAAATTATTATTAACAAAAATAAAAATTAAAAGATTCCAAACCAAGTTATGTCACGACGTTTCGATTGTTAGTATACACAATCGTCATCAGGTGATAACTGTTATCACCCGAGTTATCACCCGAAGACGATTGTGGATACTAACAATCGAAACGTCATGGCGTAACATGGTTTGAAATGTTTTAATTTTAATTTTTCATTTTTGGTAAAAATAATTTTTAATTTTTATTTTTCAGCTTTTATTGATATTTCAATTTTTATTTTTATTTGTTTGGTTGTTGCTTGTATGTTATTTCTTTGTAATTTCAGTTTTTTGTTTTGATAAAATTGTTAGGTTAATCTTATTAATTTTTTATTTGTTTTTTCAGGGTTTTTAAATCAATTTATATTATATTAGACAATGGAAGTCCGAACTGATGAAATACACCACGAAACATTGTCAACCACCTTCAAACATTTATTAGAATTGTTTATTTTCACTCTTAGTCTAATACAAGATTATAAGCCAAGTGCAGTTTTTCTCTATCATCAGAGCAAAACAATATTCGTCTTGGAGTTTTCAGTTTCGGGTGAGACGAATATCGTTAAAAGAAAAACAAAGGAAATTCGAGAGTTTCTCTTCAAACTCCGCAGACTCTATCGAGAACACTCTGTTAATATGGTTGTATCTTGGTGGAATATGCCCTCCCCACTAAGGCAGACATTTTGCCCGGACAAATAAAGAAGGCTCATTCCGTCAGCTTAGGGCACATGATTCTCGGACCCAATTATCACCTTTCCCACGTTGTGGGAAATGGTACTTGGTTGATTATGCTGGCTTCGGGAACAGTGTCCGACCAGCTAAACCTACGGAAAAAAAATAATGAGGAACGTTTTCATCACTGCAACCACTGCAAACTCTTGAATAACGAAATTGATTGTAGTGTTGAGAAGGTTTTGAACCAGATATTGAGGTAAGAACATGTATTTGTCAATTTTTTGTAAATTGAAAAAAATACTTTATATGAGTAATCTCACAATAGAGACGGGCATCATGCCCGTCCCCCTTTTCTCAATGTTCAACCATCCAAATTCCTTGAGTTTGTGAGATATTCTCTTTTCACAAGTTGAAAAAAAAAAATTCCCACTTTCTGAATGCTGCTCTGTTTGTAACTTGTCAGATTCGACTTATGAAGTATGTCTGCAAAATTCAATGTCATATAACAGTTTTTCAATTCTATTGATAGGCAATGCCTGTTGTCAAACTTAAGTTTGAGGTAGGCATGAGGTAGGTAGAATAAGTTTATTAGTGTGCTTTTCAAATCTCATATCAGAATCGAATCACACTCCTACACGTCATCTACATTATCGAGTGTATTTGCATTCATATAGATTTTAACTGAGTTGATGATTTCACTCCCATTCATTTTTGATTCGAAAATGCAAACTCCATATCTGAATCAATATTGTGATTGAACTGCGCGTCTTTCACGTAAAGATAAACGTCACGGGTTTTGAATTCCCTCAGAAAGGTTGACGAGTAGATAGTGAAGAGCAATGGGTGGTAAGCAATGAGAGCACCCTCTCTTTCAGTTTTAGGACATCCAAACCCCGTGAATCTATCCAAACTTGTTGCTTTCTATCAAACTCAACCAAACAAATCCAACGAAGCTGTTCACCAGAAGTAATGTCAACAATGAAACTCTTCTATCAAGGCCGGAATTTGCTTGTGAAAAATAATCCACTCCTAGGTTGACGAAACCATGGTAAAGTTTCCTCAATCCAGTAATCTATTAGTCTTATATAACCTTCATCAATGGATGAGCAATATCAATATGTGGTTTGGAAAGTATGTATTCTGTGACACATTTCAAGAAGGCGTCCTCCCATAGCTGCAGAATATAAACTGCACTAACAACCAGAAGATGTTCTTCTCACCCTCTCAGGTAAACTGTACTTTCCAGGCCGGAATGTGTGGCTCTGGAATTATACCTGTGGGTAATTTTCTGTAAATTTTTTTACGGCAGTCATAATGGCATCCCGAAGAGATTCTTTGGTCAGCTATACCACACTATACATTAGATTCGGTCATTCATTCAGAGCTTTTTCGCCTCCATTTTGGGTTTTTCGTATTATGAACGTGAATATCTGCTGTTCTGCTCTCCTGGCGCTGATTCTGCTTCTGCTCCTCAATAATTTGGTGAAGAGTTGGAGTCGTTTGATCGATGTCCAACTATTTTGTAGTCTCAAGGTCGGATTCTTTGGTTACCTCCTTATCTAGGAAGAGTCTCATGGGTAGATAGCTGCAGATACCCCAAAGTTCTTGTAGCGACTCTAAGTGGGCTCACACTCATACGGGCATACGGCATGGGTATTTTACTGCATTCCGCGTGTCCATGCATGATCTTAAACCTTTCTTAGTCCTGAAGGATGGTATATTCCACCCCGAATTCCATGCTTTCAAAATGGAATTCGAGATGAAGGAATGAGCCATCTCAAGAGAGGATGAAAGTATCCTATACCATCTGGATTTCGGAAAGAATTGTGTCTAACTTGGAGTGGAATAATGTCATCACCAAAATTTTATGCAGAAAACACTCTTCTCGAAGTAACTACCAGCACAAACTCCAGCAGATGTGGTCATCGGAAGTCTTGGAGAAAAAAACAAGTTGATGCTACAACTCTGATTGGGTTTTCTTCCGCCTGTGTTGTCTGTTTATACTCGGCAATCTTGGTTACCTTAGTCTCCTTATTATGGCACTCGGTGGGGGGACTAGACATTGGTTAAGGATGCTGAACAAGCTCTGATTAGCAACTCCATTTTACAATAAAATGTGATCAGGAATGTAACATCAGAAATGAATTTATTCATGATTGAAAACTAACGATAATACACTATAATAAAAATATATGAATGGAGTATACAGATCGTAAAGCATAGAATAACTTGAATGAACGACCTCTTTTCTTCTATTTTCAATGTGAAACCTGCTTTAACTGACATTTTGACAGTTACCTGATTTCAATCACTTATGTCAAACGTATTTTGTAGGTTCATCCTTGGGTTAACTACGAGCAAATTCTGCAGAAATGCTTCATCGGAAGGTTGGTTTCAATTGATCCTGGAATCAACTCGCAAGATCTTTTCTTCGGAAAACAAGCAACTGAAAAATCATCCCCAAACAACTTCGGAGAATCCAAAACTCCGACAGTTGAAGCAGTTGCAAAGAAAACTGGAGCTGAGACTCCAAAAAAGCAGCAATCAGTGGCGAAAGTGGATTTGTCAAATGCTGAAGATGAGCTGGAGGAACAAACAGATGTTGTTAGTTTACCAAGGTTTGATTGGATCCAACAACTGAACTCCATAACAGTTATTTTCTACACTCCGGCCTTCTCGAACCCAATGGTGGAGGTGATCCCTCCAGATGCAAATAAAGCAATAATGATAGTAATTTCCATTGACGAGACTATTTTTAGGAATGAAATTGTTTTTTACGAAAATGTAGTTTGGCCTTGTTTTATTAGGGTGACGTGTGAAACAGGAAAGGTTGAAGTGATTTTTACGAAATGCGAAGATGCGATTTGGAGTAACTACGGGGTTCTGAGACAGCAAAGTGAAAGTGTCGAGGCTGTGACTGGTGCGAGATACAATCATGTGTTTAGCGATAGGATAACAGTGAACCATAATATCTATCTAATCAAGTTGAATCGGACTGATGGAAGGAAAATCGTGGTGCCAATTGGAAAGCATGTTAGAGCGTTTGCGAACATTGATGGTGAGTAGAATTTGAGATGAATATTTCAGTAATGATTATTGTTTTTGGGATCTTGTTAATGGATAGATGCTATAACCTTGCATGAATGTATTTTCTCATCAACTTGGAAAATTTGTACGACCCAGATCTGTTCTGTTCATATTATAAAAATACAATGGATAGAGCTTATTGTGTTCTCAGGAACTCAAAGTTTTCAACTGTGTTTGAAATATATCTTTTACTTACAGCTTTATCCTTGATTATTTTCTTTGGTGATAACTAGAATTTGAAAGCCCCGACGTGCAAATTATCTATCAAATTATCTATCAAACATTCTATAACCTCTCACAAGCAAGACAAGGCGACCAGTTTTCTTGTCTACATTATACAGCGTGACTCACGGTCGATGGTAGGTTAGACGTTTCTGGAAAACACAAAGCATGATTTTTCTGAAAATTTCACCTATCACATTTCCTTACCTGTTCTATCGATCTAAAATATTTTCACCATTGCGGCATTGCCACTTCTATCAAAAAGTCCTAGCAATTATATTTTTTTGAATGGAACACCCCGTATATTGATACATTTTTGGAATCGCTCTAGTATTTCAATACTTTTTTGTTAATAATGTCCTATACCTATCTCTATCTGTTTTCGAGATAAAAAATTAATTTTGCCAAATATGGTCCAAAACATAGCCTCAATTGAAATTAAGTACATCAGTACTCTCAATTCATGAAAAGTTGATATTTTGACGATAGTTTGGACAAACTCGTGAATCATCCTATTCTGTTATTGTCTGTACTTTCACATGTTTTAGCCCACATAATCTTACTTTTTACCAAATGACTGATTTTTGGTACAGTTGTTCCCTGGAAACTTTGATTCATAGTTAAGGAAATTATTTTGTAACCTTACAAACTTCCTCTCGTTCATTGGTGTTAATTTAGGATACATTTGGTTGAATTTTTTACACGTTCTGACAATGATTTGATCACTTTGTTCATGTGTATAATAAATAATTTCATAAGAACTTCTTTTGAATAATCAATATTTGCATTCATTTTTGGTGATTTGGCGAAACACCGTCGATAACTCTTTTACCATCTTTCAATTTACCGAGTAATATACAGGAGGTTTCATTTGAAAAAATGAACTTTCGACTACTTTTATGCACAATGGAAATAATAGTAATTTTAGCACGCCCTGTATGATAAGGAGCAGATTTTTTGGTGTAATTTGAATATTTCGAGTTTGTTTGTCCAAACTATCATCAAAATATCAACTTTTCATGAATTGAGAGTACTGATGTACTTAATTTCAATTAAGGCTATGTTTTGGACCATATTTAGCACAATTTATTTTTTATCTCGAAAACAAATAGGGATAGGTATAGGACATTATCAACAAAAAAGTATTGAAATACCAGAGTGATTCCAAAAATGTATTAATATACGGGGTGTTCCATTCAAAAAAATAAAGTTGCTAGGACTTTTTGATGGAAGTGGCAACGCCGCAATGCTGAAAATATTTTAGATCGATAGAACAGGTAAGGAAATGTGAGAGGTGAAATTTTCAGAAAAATCATGCTTTGCGTTTTCCAGAAACGTCTAACCTACCATCGACCGTGAGTCACGCTGTATATAAGATCACCAAACAGCTCACAAAAGAGTACGAGAACCTAACGACTCCACACTTCAGTTAAGGTGTAGTCGATTCACAAGGATTTATTGAAAAGATAGGTAGATGATATATTTTTCAATTTAGACACAAATGGGAGTAAGGTAGATTTTGCATTATATCTCAACAACAGATCCCCAACTATAAAGTTCACGTATAAAAATGAAAATAACGAAAAGTCAAAGTCTTGTCCATATACTTATAACGTTTTCCGTAGATGAAAATAGTACGACATCGTATCCTTTCAACATCGTCGATAATATAATAAGGAAAGAACATTTGAAAATTGTCTTCGTGAATCCCCGATTTTTTTAAAAAGACGATGACTCAAAGTTTATAGTTTTTCCATATGAATCATAACACACTTATGGCTAGGTCCGAATTTTCGAAAAATTATACATAAAAGTGGCTTTCAAAACTTCTCATTCGCTTCAAAAAGTGTTGGGGAATCCGAAAGAAAATAATTGTACCTCTTTTTACAACCATCATTTCTTGAGGTGATGGTGTATATAAATAGGCATATCTTGGTTGTGTAAATTCAGTTTTTAAAATCTCCAGATTATCCAAACTTGGTTAAAAATATGCTTGTCGAGAGACAGTGTTTTTGTTCTGGTGTGGAAAATAAAAATGAATATAAAATTCCAAGAATGAAATATTGATAGATATATAAAATTACAAAATATAAATAAGAGGTAGCGACAATGTATTGGGTTAAAATCGCATACATGGACATCCATATCTGCAGATAAAAAATCACAAACAGTTATTTGTCAATAATTATTTCAAGTGCATTGAACCGAGAAATCAAAACTCAAGTACATTTCTGAATAAATTAGCATTAACACTTCTCCTCATACAGGGTGTTCATTAAACATGTGACAAAACATTCCTTGGGGTATTCTAAGGATATTTTGTCCTTTGAGCGCTTTGTTTCGAAGATTTGAGGCGAAAAAGAATTTTGACAATAACAATTTTGATTAATTTGAAATTATTAACGAAATAAAAGTATAGCGTACTACACTGGCTCTAGTGAGTAATAAAAAATCTAACAACTCTGTTGGTATAGTTCAAGTAAACGATATAGTGCAACCTACCTTCCAACAGCTCCCCTTCAATAAAATCTAAAGAAATGAACTTTAAACGCTCAAGGCAGTCTCGAAAATACCTACACAGTAGGTTGAATGGACTGACGCCTGTCAGAGAACAACTACTCCCCTGGTTAATACCACAAGTGTGTTGGATTATATCCGACAGGCGTCAGTTCAGGAATCTTCACAGAAAATTTCCTGCATATACAATTGGTAATACAACTGGAAGAGTCGACCTTCAATTTTGGAACGGGTACACTTGCAGACCGGTTTCGGGCTCATTAGCCACTCATCAGTGCAAGATAGTGGCCGTCATCGACCTAAAGTCAATAATATTCCATAATTGAGAATCAGAATTCTTTCAGAGTATTTCATTCCTCTTCCTAAGCTGGAGCGAACAACAGAATGTCACTCCATCTAGTGGACGAGGTACTAATGAATTTATTTCCACCATTAATATGGAAATGTCTAATCTCCATATAGTCTTTTTCAACTAAAATTACTTTTTTAACCCTTTTCTGCCAGTCTTCGTCGGTAATATTGAATACTTATTCTTTAATTAGCTCTTTTATCTTCTTATAAAATTTTCGAAAATAACGCCTGATGATTTCCACAAATCAACTGGATGGGATTGAAAACACAAAAATAGGGGGAGTTTCAGTATGGTGTGTCCACATACTTTTCAACAATACTCTCAAGGGCATACACATTTTTAAAGGTTTTTGTCTGTAAAACTTCAAGTAGTTGGTTTTTGGTATAATAATCTTCAAAATACAAATTGATATCCATTGAAAAACTTTGTATTTTATCTTTCCTCAAATTTTTATTCGGTACTTTGATGAGCTGTCGCGAATGAGGAAGCGTTGTCAAGAACTATTACACTATTCGCATCCAAATTTGTGACCATAACTGCTTGACGTTTGTTTATTATTTTAAATCTGAATCCTAGTTTCTTTATCCAATTATAAAGAGTTTTTTCACAGCAGCTCATGTCATGGCCGGAAGTATTCAATTTCTTCCCACCCCCAAGTATGCCCACTGACTATGTGTCGATTTCTTCCTTATAATTTCAGTTGTAGGTATCTCATTGCTTTTATAACAGTCGTATATCGTTTTTTTCAATGATTTTATTAGATACACATCTAAAGGTTCTCTTCATTCCGTATCACATCGCGTCTTGCGTTCATAAGGTTTGTTTTTGACTATTTTACGTATAGTTGAAAAAGGAATTTCGATCAAATCTGATGCTGCTTGTTTGTTTCCCTCGAAATCAAATTTGAGATGTAGATTCTTATATACTTTGAAACGTACTCTCTGTGTTTCAATATTCAAATGCATCCGTATCTTATTCACTGGTATCTTTTTTTCGCATTGTTCACTATCGCTATTGAAATGATTACACAGAAAAAAGTCTGCGTTGTTATCACACTCGTGTATACCAAGTGTACAGTCCACGTGGACTAGTTGGCAGCGGCTTTATTTCTTTGTATTGGTTTTTTGGCCTTTGAGCTCGCCGACAGCTTTAACTATTCATAATACCGGTTACTTCGACTACACCTATCAACATTTCGATTACTACAAACGGCTGCAGACATTCTATTTGAACAGTATGTCCTGGTGGTTTTGAAAGAGTCCGGGAGTCGATAAGGAAAAGATGGGATTCTGGTATTCGAGCGGGGGGTAGTCATTTTCAACAGATCTTGTAGATTATTATTGACAATTTACCTAGTCCAGATACAGGTATCAGTACACCAAACTAGCTGAGTCAACAGAAACACGCTTTGAGCAATTCACCTGATTTAGGTACAGGTATTAGCACACCTATTTATCAATATAAATATGCTTTACATAGCCGTAATATCCAGTCATCGGAGATAACTCAGATAAACCTCTGAAGAGGCAGGTTCTCACGCCAGCAAAACGTCAGGAAGAAATTCCAAAAATTGGCGGCTTTCAACCCGAAAACTAGTGACACTATTAACTGTTCATCATCTGTTAATTTTCTAGGACTTTGCATGTATGAAAATTTATCGATATATGAACATATCAAGATTTCACGCAAACGAATATCTCCCACAACTGAAATACTTTTTCATAATTAGAAATTTTGTGATTGGAATTTTCATAATGTATTAATTTATCTTTAGTTCATTCTAATCTGAAGTAATTTATATCAGTTTGTGAAGTATCATCTACTTAATCAACCTCTCTACTCAAAAAACTGGAAATACTACAGAAGAAAGTCATAAAATGTATTTCACGAATTAAATTATGGGAAACCAACTATTAATTTAAACAAAATAATATTTGCACATTTACTAATCTTGAAAAAATCAAATTTAAACAATCAAATTTGATTTTGGAAATGAATAGTGATCAACATAATTATTCTACAAGGTAATAAAAAATCCAAGGGTTCTGAATATCAGATCAAATGTTGGTAAACAATCGATTTATTGGAGTAGTTTTAGGAATACCAGATTCCTAAAAAAATATCTTCTATTATAAACTACTATTATCAGTTAACTAGTTTAGTGATCCAATAATGTTTCTGAAGAAAGGTTGGTTGGGTAATAGGATCATTTCTTTCAAAAAAACAATTGTTTTCTTGCCGACGTTTCGAATTCAATTGAATTCTTCTTTAGGGCTCGAAAAGTAGGTTTTTCTTGTTATTAATTTCTATTACTAATTTAGACTTATTAGATACATTTAAAAATATAATGTTATCAATATATTATATATTTATTACATTTTTATCACGCTTTTATTAGCTTCAACTGTATGTATGTATGTTTGTTTGAAACTCTCAAGGTCGGGATCTTTATTCGACAGAATTATCGACATTATTGCTTGATCTATTCGCGGGCAGATGGCGCTTTACGTTACCTCCTTGATATAAATCGAAATGACTTTACACATGTATTTCTTCATTTGAAAAAACATATTTTTTTTTATTAACATGCGTGCCTGCTGCCTTATTTGCAACCCTCCTTTGCGCGCCTGCTGCCTTGGGCTTGGTAGCTGATTTTCAGGCTCCCTCTCCGGAATCGGAAAATATCAGTGGTCATTTTTCTAAATAATATACGGCTGATTGATCCCAAAGTTTAGATAAAATAAATATAGTTTAAAAAACTAGAAAACACGCTTCTAAATAACATCGAACTGAAAAGGTAAAAATAATTTTATTTTCAATAAGCCTAAAACAATAACGAACGAAAAATACTAGTATTATTGTGGAAAAAGCGTGGGTGCTTTGTGCCATATTTTTTGTATATCAAGCGCACGTATTGTTATTGTTCGTTATTGTTTTAGGCTTATTTGCTCGATGTTCTTTTAAAGCGTGTTTTTTAGTATTCAAAACTATATTTATTATTTGAGCGAATTAGTAAAACATTCTCTTGCTATTTTATCATTTTCTATATTTTTCTTTTCTCCTTACTATGAACATTGTATTCATATTATTATTATTTGGTTATTATTATTTCATTTCAGGTCAGGAATGGTCTCGAAGTTACACACCGGTTCCTTCATCTCTCTTCACAAATCTTTCTCTAAACAACTATACTTCGGACACGGTGTGTCTGATGATCAAGCGGTATAAAAATGGCAATGTCAGCAGATTCTTGACGGACAGAGAGGAAAACGACGTCGTCTATCTCACTGGTCCTTTGGGTGACTTCGATCTGAGAACGATTGAGAAAAAGGAGACGTTTCTTCTGCTTGCTGCTGGTACGGGAATCACGCCGATGTTTTCGCTACTGGTGTTCCTTTTAGAAAGAAGGATACGAAAGTGGTAAGTTGTTGATTATTTCTGTACAATTCAGGAGATCACTGCACCTTTATTCAACATGTAAAAATCTGGCAAAATTTGATGGGAGTATTTTTCATTTATATATATTTTTTTTTGATAATCACCAATTTTCGCAATATATACTTTATTTCCAATTCGCGTTTCACTGCGATAGTAATGTCCTCCCAAACGAAGTAAAACTGTATGTTGATATAATTGTGGAAGCTTCTCAAATTGTCAGTATTTCTTGATGATTATGGTATAATTCGGTTAGGAGGAAAATTTTCTGAAAATACTTCATTAGATGATGTTTGATATTCAGTAAATTGATATGCTGCCTTTATCGTCCACCAAGCGATACACAATATAGGGCACTATTCTCTTCACTTGCAAACACCATTGACTTTCTGCAAATCAATCATCCCAGTGCCATATTCTGTGACTTCAATGTCCACAATATCGAATGTCTCAAATTTTCAAATATCAGCGACGAACAAGGCTTCGAAGCTGAGGGTTTTGTAATAAGCAGCGGACTTACTCAAATTATAAATGAGCCAACCAGTATTTCTGACCGTGATAGAGAATATGCTAGTCTTCTGGAGCTATACCTAAGAACCCATCGAGCAATTTACACAGTCACCGTGAATCCATTGAGATCTTCTGACCACAAACTCGTTTCAGTGTTGAAATTATTCTGTCATGCATGGGTGCATATACTCTTTTTCAGAGAAACGAACTCGTTAATGGCAAACCTTGGTTCAACAAAAATTGTGAGCAAGCCTCCAAAAATCTCGCCTGCCGGCAGTGACGCAAAAATCCTGTGCCGAAAACCAAACTGGGTTTGTCAATGCTTGCAACAGCTGCAAACTCAGAATAAATGAAAGCAAATAAATTCACAAGCACATAATTAGGGATAAACTGCTTGCCAATCCAAACGGATTCAAATCCTTCTGGTCGGTAGCTGAAGTTGTTAATCAAAACTACAAAATTCACAATGCCACCAGTAACACAAGCGGATGGTTCAGTTGCTGAATAATTTGCGTTCCACTCCACAGTCGATTTTGTGGAAAAGGCACCACCCACTATTTCCACAGTAGAATCCACAATGCCGGAAATTAATGTTCGACAACGTCTAGTCGACGAATTTTGAAACAGCTCAATATCAACAAGGCGTCTGGTCTAGATGAAGTGCCCGTCATCGTACCCAAAAAGTGCGCAAATGAACTCACACCAGTATTTTGCAGGCTTTTTAACCTTTCTTACAAAAAAGGGTTTGTTTTAACCTGTCTTACAAGGAAGTGCTCTCTTATAATTGCGGACCATTCAAAAACGGGATTCGAACTTCCATCCAGTACCATTCTGTTATGCATACACTTCAAACTCAATAGTCCACTGTCTCCCTATAGTCGGAGAAATACAATCATGAAACGCACGATTTGGGATTCATCATTTTCAGGGTTTTCACGTTGAGTCCACCCCACTACTTCAACAGAAAAGAGTGAGATCAGAATGGCAAACATATTCCTAGCCACAAATTTATTCTTCTCCGCGGTTTTCATGGTTACCTCTTGTGAGTGGTGTTGTTTCACCGCGAGGTGGAACGATTCTGCGACATCCAGATGGTGCAGGATGCCTTCGTCTACGAGCTGTTCATCTTCTCCGTAATCCCCGCATCGTATTCTTTCAAGATGGACGGGTGCACATTTGTCTTATACTTCTTACCGAAATCATGCCTATACTCTTCTTATTATTATTATCTTCTGTTATTATTATCATTATTATTTTTTCTTCGATCTGACAGGGAAGCATAAAAAGTCATAAGTGTGAGCATTTTTTAAATGGGGCTTTATTACTAGCTATTCAACTGCGTCAATTGTATTTTCTAGAAAAGGTTTCAACATAAAATACAAGACTATTGGGATTGGGGTTCTGAAGTTGTCATGAAAAACCGAATCGGTTATCCTGATTTTTCGATTGCTTATGTTACTTTCAAAATCATTGCGAAATGTTCAAATATTCTTTAATATAGTAAATATTCTCCCTCATTTGGATTTTATACCAAACGTTCCCTAGTCTCAGGAGTATTACTTAAACTTTATGATGTGAGCTATCCAAACATTTTATGTAATATATTTCACTGCATTCATCTATACTCTGCTCACAAATTTATTCATATCATATAAATTTAATATCGCAGAGCATCGTTCGTGGATGTATTTCTAGAAATATAACGCGAAGGGCAATCTTGAAATATTCAGTGAATGACAAGTATTGAATGATTTGTTTGAATAAAATCAAATAACGAAAAATTTGAACTTTCATTATACAGGGTGAGTCAACAAGATTTCCTCGGTCCATTGCTATCAGAGGAAACAATTTTACGAACTGCTCAATTTTTTTTGCAGTCATATCGATAAATACTATCGCATACTGGATGATTCAGCCGAGCGTGGCCAACCAAAGTTATATTTTTTCAAATGGGACACCCGGTATATAAATACGTCATTCGATTATATATTTCTTTAGATATCTAAGGAATTTTTTTTTCGAATTTCTATTGCGGCATTGCCAAGTTATTCCGGAAAAACCTATTTTAAAAACAATATTTTTTCAATTCACCACCCGCATGTTCACAGCAATCAAGTGGATTTTTTTTAGAAATAGTTGGTCAACATCACAATAATTATTTCTGGAATTTCAACTTTCGGAAACAATATATAGGGTGCTCGGTAAAACCGGTCAAGTTTAATTCATTTTCAAACACACATAATTCAACTTTTTCAAATGGAACACCCTGTATTTTTTCATTTGTATAAAATGTTTCAACATTTTCACTACATTTTTTATCCGAGGTATACTATACGAAAAACAGATATTTTACAAATTATCCCCAAGTTTATTAATTGTTGTAACCACAAAAAATTTATTTATTTACTTTTTTGAATATTCAAATATTCACTTGATGAAATGAATATGTTGGGGTTGACCACTACTTCAAACAATACCAAAATATTACTAAACGGGATTTACAGGCCACGTCCAACATCTGAAAAAAACTTCATAAGTAACCTGTCAGACTACCTCAAATATTGTTAAACCTCAGATCTTCACATAATTACGGGCGACATTAATATTTTGAAAAATAGTGATAACCATGTACATGAATACCTGAATGGGCGGGGAAGGTTTTAGTTGCTTAATAAATAAATGCACTAGGAATAAAGGTGATGAGAAATCCTGCTTGGATCATATATTCGTGAAAACAAAAAAGTCCCTTTATAAAAATATTCCTGTAGTCATCGAAACTAACATTATACAGACCATTATTGCATCATAAACCATTTCATACGAAAAAATACAAACTGATAAACCACAAAGTTTCAGAAATCTAATAATTAAACATAAATTCAATGGAAAAATCAAACAGGAAAATTGGCTAGAAGTGTATACTGAAAATGATGTTGACGTATGTACCGAAAATTTAATAATTACAATGAAAAATCACTTAGAAAACTCAACAACAACAATAAAAATTAGGAGAAAATAAATAGGGAGAATATGCTGGATAACTGCGGGAATAATAAAATCTACGCATGAAAAAAACAGACTATACAAAATAATGAAAAATCAACCAACAGAACAAAACAAAAAAAAATTCAGAAACTACAGCAATATGTTAAATTTTTTAATAAAAAAAGCAAAAAGTGACTATTATAATAACAAAATAGAGGCTAATTAAAAACACGTGTAAAAGTCTATGGGAATGTATCAATGAAATTTCAAAAAAGCAAAAACAGAAATTAAAGAAATAAAAACTTCCGCTGGAAACCCAACAAATGATTCTAGAGAAATATCTGAAGAGTTTTGTAAACACTTTACTGATATTGGTGAAAAAATGGCAAAAGATTTAAGTAACAAAATAGAAGCAAAACCTGTCAGATATAAAAATAAATCCAAATTCAATTTTTTTAACGAAACAAATGAAGCAAAAGTTATGGAGATTATATTTAATTTGAAAAGTCATAAATCACCGGGGATGGACAACATAAAATCCGAAATTCTGAAAGACATCAAGGAGGAAATTGCACCTCCGTTAGTTTATATAATAAATAAGTCCATGAATGATGGGAAATTTTCAGATATCCTGAAAATTGCTGAAATAAAACCTCTCTTTAAAAACGGTGATAAACTTGATGTTACGAACTATCGCCCTATTTCATTGTTATCGAGCATGGGAAAAGTTTTCTAATAAACCTTACAGAAGAGGTTGGTCTCATTTCTCCAAAGTTATAATATTTTATCGAGTAGACAATATGGTTTTCGTAAGAATAGTTCAACGTCTCATGCAATTGCCAGATTGACAGGGCTGATAAATAATGCAATTGACAAAAAAAGTCCTTCTATCTTTGTCTTCATCGATCTGACAAAAACATTTGACACCGTTGACCAGTCAAAACTATTGACAGTGCTCTCAAATATTGGCATACGAGGAGTTGTTCATAAATTATTTGAGAGGTACTTATAAATCGTCGTTGGTACCTCTTGGTACGCTGTGATACCCAGAACTAAAAAAATGAAAGGGGCCAAAACTTTTTAATGAGCTACCGCTCGAACTCAAAACGATCAACTCATACGAAATGTTCAAGAAAAAGGTCAGATCTTGGCTGTTCACTTTTCCGTCCGAAACACTAGAAAGCTTTATAGCTACAAGCAGAGTACGTTATAGACTTGCATGAGGTGTTACTCATGATATAATCTGCAGATGTAATTATTCTGATGTAATTATTGTAATGTGATATTAGTGCCAAAATTTTCCTTTAATCTGATATGAAATTTAATATTTTAGAAATGTGACTTGACTGAAGCTTTTATATTCTTATTCCACTTCAAATTGTTTAGTCTTTGGTTTGGATTTTGAATCTTCTAGTATTAACAATTTTTAGGTTTGTATGTTTTTATATTTAAACAAAATCAGAGAATATTTGTATTTTAATGATATTCAC